CCTTGGGGGGGGGGGGGGGGGTCTGTACCTCGGCCCGGATATTCTTGTATTGCTGCTGTGGCATGCTGGAGCTTGTAGTTGTTCAGCAGCCGGCGCTCCTTGGGCTGTTTGTCTTCATCAGTTGATGAATTCCGGCGGCCCTTCCTCCGGTATTTAATGCATTTGGAATTAGCCGAGCCCCCCGCGCCCGCCTGCAGAAAGCATGTGTGCGGCACCACGCCGGAATAATAACGACTTCTCGGGGAAATCAGTTGTCATCTCGGGTGAGGAATGATTCTGAATATATTTGGGCTGATTTTCTGGGTAATAATTTGATTGTCAGGAGAGCGTTTTATATTCATGAGTTCTGCAGCTGGTATCTGGCAATCTCCCTCACCTCGCGCAGTGTCTTCCCCTATCTGCGGATTTACTTTCTGCCCGTCAATCACTCCTCTGCGCCTCGGCTCGCTTTCAGGTTCTCTGCACGCAGGCGAACGCAAAACGTCAGCACGTGGCTAATTTCAATCGTCGGCCGATTTCAGGCCTGGCGTTGCGGCATGAATCGGGACCCTGTGTGCACCCAGATGTTTTGTTTTTGTATCTCGCTTTAAGGTGGAACTCTAGGCCAGCAAATCCCCTTTTTTAAAAAAATACTTGCGTCCCGCCCACAGTAATTTTACTTGCACGCGTTCAGCATGTTCGGGCACCTTCACATACATACAGTTGCAAGAAAAAGTATGTGAACCCCTTGGGATTACGTGGAGTTTTGCATGAATTGGGCAAAAAATGTGCTCTGAACGTCATCTAAGTCACAACAATCGAAGAACACAGTCTGCTGAACATAATACTACACAAACATTAGATGTTGCCATGGTTTAATTGCACATAACATGTAAACATTCACAGTGCAGGGAGGAAAAAGTATATGAACCTTTGGACTTAATAACTGGTTGACCCTCCTTTGGCAGCAATAACCTCAACCAAACGTTTCCTGTAGTTGCAGATCAGACCTGCACAACGATCTGGAGTAATTTTGGACCACATCCTCTTCACAAAACTGTTTCAGTGTAGCAATATTTCTTGGATGTCTGGTGTGAATCGCTCTCTCTAAGGTCATGCCACAGCATTTCAATGGGGTTGAGGTCAGACTCTGACTGGGCCACTCCAGAAGGCGTATTCTGTGCTGTTGCAGCCATTGTTTTGTTGAATGACTTGTATGCTTTGGGTCATTGTCCTGTTGCATCACCCATCCTCTGCGGAGCTTCAGTTGGGGGACAGATGGTCGTAACGTTTTCCTGCAAAATGTCTTGATAAACTCTGGAATTCATTTTCCCATCAATGACAACAATCCGTCCAGGCCCTGAGGCAGCAAAGCAGCCCCAAACCATGATGCTCCCTCCGCCATGTTTCACAGTGGGGATGAGGTTTTGATGTTGGTGTGCTGTGCCTTTTTTTCTCCACACATAGTGTTGTGTGTTCTTCCCAAACAACTCAATCTTGGTTTCATCTGTCCACAGTATATTTTGCCAGTAGTGCTGTGGAACATCCAGGTGCTCTTTTGCAAACTTCAAACGTGCTGCAATCTTCTTTTTGACAGCACTGGCTTCCTCCGTGGTGTCCTCCCATGTAATCCATTCTTGTTTAATGTTTTCCTGATTGTAGATGAGTCAACAAAAATGTTAGCATGTGCCAGAGATTTCTGTAGGTCTTTAGCTGACACTCTGGGATTCTTCTTTACCTCATGCAGCATTCTGCGCTGGGCTCTTGCAGTCATTTTTACATGATGACCACGCCTAGGGAGAGTAGCAACAGTGCTAAACTTTCTCCATTTGTAGACAGTCTGTATTACCGTGGACACATGACCATCAAGGCTTTTGGAGATACTTTTGTAACCCTTTCCAGCTTCATGCAAGCCAACAATTCTTGATCGTAGGTCTTCTGAGAGCTCTTTTCTGCGAGGCATGGTTCATATCAGACAGTGCTTCTTGAAACCAGTAAACACAAAACAGGTGTCAGCAACACATCCAATATCATCACACTGATTGGAGTCAAGGTTGGCTCACTCCTGGCTCCAATTAGCTCTGGGAGAAGTCATTAAGCTAGGGCCTCACATACTTTTTTCCTCCCTGCACTGTGAATGTTTACATGTTATGTGCAATTAAACCATGGCAACATCTAATGTTTGTGTAGTATTATGTTCAGCAGACTGTGTTCTTCTATTGTTGTGACTTAGATGACGTTCAGAGCACATTTTATGCCCAATTCATGCAAAACTCCACGTAATCCCAAGGGGTTCACATACTTTTTCTTGCAACTGTACGTGTACATCGGGAGCTGCACATGGGCACTCCTGTGACGGATACAACCGTTTACGGTGCTTGGTGATATGAGCGGCCGGGGTATCATGTGATCGCTATGACCAACCGTAGCGATCACATGATAATGTAAACAAACTGACAATGGAAGAACATAAAGGTGCGACGCTACAGATAATCACAATAAAGAAAAAAATACATAAAATAAAAGTCCAATAATGTCCGGTATAAACGTAATAAATGCCTCTAATAAAATATTGCGGATATCCTATAAATTCCAAAATAAAAAGTTCCAATAGATTGGGAGAGTCCACCATCACCAACACCCCAAAAATGGCCGCCTTTTACCAGGACGTAATGACCCTTCAATTGAGTACGGGTCTGAAGAGCGCGGTACACATTCCAAATGTAGATGGGGAACCTGAACACTTTTTGGCTCCAAAGGGACAAACTGACCCCCCAGGTGTTGAAGGAAATGCCAACTGGATCACTTTCAGGAATTCCCATAATCGAGGCATTGACTCCCAACTGATCCTCCAAGAATACAACCAGAGATGAACAAGTGACTGTCTGTCAGCTGCATGCTATTCTACGCGGTGCAATTAGCATCCATTAATGAAAATCGCACCACAAAGAATCCGTATCAGGGGGTACCTGACACATATCAGGGGGTACGTGACTGAAGTATCGGTACTCAGACCGATTAAAAAAAAAAAAAATGGTATCAGTGCAACCCTACCTCTTACCAAATACCTCAGACTGTCTGCTTTCCAAAAAGGGGTCATTTGGGGGGTGTATGTACCATCCTGCTATGCGAATCCGAGAGTTTGAAAGTGCATCCAGAATCGCATGTGTGAACCAGCAGAGCGGCTCCATTCACACCCGGGCAGTTTTGGGATTGCGACAGAATCTGTGAACGCAAAATACAGTCTCAGGTGCCATTCTTTTCATTGGAGTGGTTTTGCCATGATTGTCGTGCGGCAAATCGCATCACGGGAAGCACGTCGTCCAAAAGATGCCTTGCCCCGGGTGCTGACAACCCACGCTATGTACAAACCCCCCCCCCCCTCCCCCCCAAAAAAAATCTCACTTTCAATACAAGAGGATTAGGAGGGCCTGATCCTGGGAGCTTACAATCTAAGAGGGAGGGGCTGATCGTGGGAGCTTACAATCTAGGGAGGGGGGCTGGCTGATCGTGGGAGCTTACAATCTAGGAGGGAGGGGCTGATCGTGGGAGCTTACAATCTAGGAGGGAGGGGCTTATCCTGGGAGCTTACAATCTAGGAGGGAGGGGCTGATCCTGGGAGCTTACAATCTAGGAGGGAGGCCCTGATCCTGGGAGCTTACAATCTAGGAGAGAGGGGCTGATCCTGGGCGCTTACAATCTAGGAGGGAGGGGCTGATCCTGGGAGTTTACAATCTAGGAGGGAGGGGCTGATCCTGGGAGTTTACAATCTAGGAGGGAGGGGCTGATCCTGGGAGCTTACAATCTAGGAGGGAGGGGCTGATCCTGGGAGCTTACAATCTAGGAGGGAGGGGCTGATCCTGGGAGTTTACAATCTAGGAGGGAGGGCCTGATCCTGGGCGCTTACAATCTAAGAGGGAGGGGCTGATCCTGGGCGCTTACAATCTAAGAGGGAGGGGCTGATCGTGGGAGCTTACAATCTAGGATATATATATATATATATATATATATATATATATATATATATATATATATATATATATATATATATATATATATATAATATATATATATATATATTTATATTTTACACACACATTGTATACAGTCTGGGGTAGGGGGGACTCACTTCTGGGAGATACTGTGTGTATCTCTATCTATACATCTATAATCTATCCCAGCCTTCGTCCGTAGGGTTCAATATTGAGTTGGCCCCGCCCTTTCCCACACACATGACCTTTAATGGCCTCCCAGTCTTAGTTTGTAGGGTTCAATATTGAGTTGGCCCCGCCCTTCAGTCCACACACATATGACCTTTAATGGCCCCCAGTCTTAGTCCGTAGGGTTCAATATTGAGTTGGCCCCGCCCTTTGCAGCTATAACAGCTTCAACTCTTCTGGGAAGGCCGTCCACAAGGTTTAGGAGGGTGTCTATGGGAAGGTTGGACCATTCTTCCAGAAGCACATTTGTCAGGTCAGGCACTGATGTCGGGGGAGGAGGCCTGGCTCACAGTCTCCGCTCTAATTCATCCCAAAGGTGTTCTATGGGGTTGAGGTCAGGACTCTGTGCAGGACAGTCAAGTTCCTCCACCCCAAACTGGCTCCTCCATGTCTTTATGGACCTTGCTTTGTGCACTGGTGGGCAGTCATGTTGGAACAGGAAGGGGCCATCCCCAAACTCCTCCCACAAAGTTGGGAGCAGGAAATTGTCCAAAATTTCACCTTAAGAGTTCCCTTCACTGGAACTAGGGGGCCAAGCCCAACCCCTGAAAAACAACCCAACTCCATAATCCCCCTTCCACCAAACTTTACACTTGGCACAATGCAGTCAGGCAAGTACCGTTCTCCTGGCCACCGCCAATCCCAGACACGTCCATCGGATTGCCAGACAGAGAAGTGTGATTGGTCACTCCAGAGAACACATCTCCACTGCTCTAGAGTCCAGTGGCGGCGTGCTTTACACCACGGTATCCGACGCTTTGCATTGCACTTGGTGATGGAAGGCTTGGACGCAGCTGCTCGGCCATGGAAAAACCCATTCCATGAAGCTCTCTACGCACTGTTGTTGGGCTCATCTGAAGGCCCACACCAAGTTTGGAGGTCTTTAGCTATTGACTCTGCAGACAGTTGGTGACTTCTGCGCACTGTGTGCTTCAGCATGCGCTGACCTCGCCCTGTCATGTGACGTGGCCTACCACTTGGTGGCTGAGTGGCTGTTGTTCCCAGTGGCTTCCACTTTGTTATAATCCCACTAACAGTTGAGCGTGGAATATTTAGTAGCCAGGAAATGTCACGGATGGACTTATTGCCCAGGTGGCCACCTATCACGGGACCACGCTTGGAGTCACTGAGCTCCTGAGCGACCCATTCTTTCACCAATGTTTGTAGAAGCAGTCGGCATGCCTAGGGGCTTGATTGTATACACCTGAGTCCATGGAGGGGATTGGAACACCTGAATCACATGATATGGAGGGGACTGGAACACCTGAATCACATGATATGGAGGGGATTGGAACACCCGAATCACATGATTGGGAGGGGATTGGAACACCTGAATCACATGATTGGGAGGGGATTGGAACACCTGAATCACATGATTGGGAGGGGATTGGAACACCTGAATCACATGATTTGGAGGGGATTGGAACACCTGAATCACATGATTGGGAGGGGATTGGAACACCTGAATCACATGATTGGGAGGGGATTGGAACACCTGAATCACATGATTGGGAGGGGATTGGAACACCTGAATCACATGATTGGGAGGGGATTGGAACACCTGAATCACATGATTGGGAGGGGATTGGAACACCTGAATCACATGATTGGGAGGGGATTGGAACACCTGAATCACATGATTGGGAGGGGATTGGAACACCTGAATCACATGATTGGGAGGGGATTGGAACACCTGAATCACATGATTGGGAGGGGATTGGAACACCTGAATCACATGATTGGGAGGGGATTGGAACACCTGAATCACATGATTGGGAGGGGGATTGGAACACCTGAATCACATGATTGGGAGGGGATTGGAACACCCTGAACCACATGATTGGGAGGGCGGGGACAATACTTTTGGCAATATAGTGTGTATGTGTGGAACTTTTTTTGAAGACCTCTTGTATATGTTGGTATGTTTCACAAATGACACCCCATCATAGGTGGGCCTGTCGGGTTTCAGCTCGTTGTATTGTATTCCCATCGGTGGGGACATGCTGAGATGTGTGGTTGCATTGCCCCTTCAGGGAGACCATGGAGGGTGAGGGTAGCCACCCTCATACAGAGGGATCACAGGGAGGATGAGGGTAGCCGCCCTCATACAGAGGGATCACGGGGAGGATGAGGGTAGCCACCCTCATACAGAGGGATCACGGGGAGGGTGAGGGTAGCCGCCCTCGTACAGAGGGATCACGGGGAGGGTGAGGGTAGCCGCCCTCGTACAGAGGGATCACGGGGAGGGTGAGGGTAGCCGCCCTCATACAGAGGGATCACGGGGAGGGTGAGGGTAGCCGCCCTCATACAGAGGGATCACGGGGAGGGTGAGGGTAGCCGCCCTCGTACAGAGGGATCACGGGGAGGGTGAGGGTAGCCGCCCCATCAGAGGGATACAGAGGGATCACAGAGGGATCACGGGGAGGGTGAGGGTAGCCGCCCTCATACAGAGGGATCACGGGGAGGGTGAGGGTAGCCGCCCTCGTACAGAGGGATCACGGGGAGGGTGAGGGTAGCCGCCCTCGTACAGAGGGATCACGGGGAGGGTGAGGGTAGCCGCCCTCGTACAGAGGGATCACGGGGATGGTGAGGGTAGCCGCCCTCGTACAGAGGGATCACGGGGAGGGTGAGGGTAGCCGCCCTCGTACAGAGGGATCACGGGGAGGGTGAGGGTAGCCGCCCTCGTACAGAGGGATCACGGGGAGGGTGAGGGTAGCCGCCCTCGTACAGAGGGATCACGGGGAGGGTGAGGGTAGCCGCCCTCGTACAGAGGGATCACGGGGAGGGTGAGGGTAGCCGCCCTCGTACAGAGGGATCACGGGGAGGGTGAGGGTAGCCGCCCTCGTACAGAGGGATCACGGGGAGGGTGAGGGTAGCCGCCCTCATACAGAGGGATCACGGGGAGGGTGAGGGTAGCCGCCCTCGTACAGAGGGATCACGGGGAGGGTGAGGGTAGCCGCCCTCGTACAGAGGGATCACGGGGAGGGTGAGGGTAGCCGCCCTCGTACAGAGAGATCACGGGGAGGGTGAGGGTAGCCGCCCTCATACAGAGGGATCACGGGGAGGGTGAGGGTAGCCGCCCTCGTACAGAGGGATCACGGGGAGGGTGAGGGTAGCCGCCCTCGTACAGAGGGATCACGGGGAGGGTGAGGGTAGCCGCCCTCGTACAGAGAGATCACGGGGAGGGTGAGGGTAGCCGCCCTCATACAGAGAGATCACGGGGAGGGTGAGGGTAGCCGCCCTCGTACAGAGGGATCACAGGGAGGGTGAGGGTAGCCGCCCTCGTACAGAGGGATCACGGGGATCATATATTAGGACACACACAGTCTGATTTATGTGTGCAGACATGAGCCGGTAATGCAGATTGCGATGATTTCTGTCATTTGGGTTTAGTAAGACCCCTTTTCACATGGGTTTTTTTTTTTTTTTTCATCTGTTCAGTCACGTTTTTTCAAGGAAAAAAACCGGTTTACATCCATTTTTCGTCTGTTCCGTTTTTTTTTTTTTTTTTTAATGGAAGAAAAATAGGGTTTTCTTGTGTTCAAAAAAAACTGATGTAAACGAATGCGGACATTAACGGATGTAAACAGATCATCTGTCCATTGAAATACATGGGAGTCCGTTTGTCATCCGTGAACAGATGAATACCAGACATACGGAATGGCCGTGTGAGAGGGGCCTAACAATGCTGACATATATATATATATACTCCCTGAGAACTTCATCTACTCGTCTGTTAACAGCATTCTGCCTTCTCTTGTAGGGGATCTGATCTCGGTGTTACAGCGAGCGGCCAGTGGCCACCACCTACTGCGCCACGAGGGAGTTTCTTCTGCTGAGAGGTGAGTGGAGGCCCATTGGATGGTCTGATAATCCCTACATACCTGTACTTTGTTTTTTTTTTTTTTTTTTATTATAATTGATGCCAGTTCATTTATTAACCACTTGCCAACCGTGCTATAGCCAAATGACAGCTACAGCGCGGTTGTCCAGTTCTGGGAGGGCGTCATGCAACATCCTCCCAGAATGCGCTCCCCCGGCAATCTGCGATCCTACGGATCACAGCTGCCTTTTACCATGTGATCAGCCGTGTCCAGTGACAGATCACCGTAAATGCAGTTGCCGGTTATTGACTATCACAGCATGAGGAAAGTACTGCCGATAACCAGCAATTGTCAGAGGACGGATCGGCACTGATGATCAGTGCCACCCACCTGTGCCCAGCAGTGCCACCCACTTGTACGCAGCAGTGCGCTTCAGTGGTGCCACCCACCTGTGCCCAGCAGTGCCCTTCAGTGCCACCCACCTGTGCCCAGCAGTGCCCTTCAGTGCCACCCACCTGTGCCCAGCAGTGCCACCCACCTGTGCCCAGCAGTGCCACCCACCTGTGCCCAGCAGTGCCCTTCAGTGCTACCCACCTGTGCCCAGCAGTGCCACTTACTTGTATCCAGCAGTGCCCTTCAGTGGTGCCACCCACCTGTGGCCCTTCAGTGCCCTTCACCTGTGCCACCCACCTGTGCCCATCAGTGCCGCCACCTGTGCTGCCAGTCAGTACCACCCATCAGTGCTGCCTACCAGTGCCGCTGCATCAATGCACATCAGTGAAGGAGAAAAATTACCTGTTTGCAAAAGTTTATAATAGAAACAAAGAAAAACGTTTATTTTTTTTTTTTTTTTTTTCTCTTTTCAAATGTTTTTTTTTTTTTCTTTTTGTTTGTAGCGCAAAAAATAAAACACTCAGTGGCAATTAAATGCTACCAAATGAAAGCTCTACTTGTGTGAAAAAAATGATAAAAATTTCATATGGGTACAGTGTTGCATGACTGCGCAATTATCATTCAAAATGTGATAGCGCTGAAATCTGAGAATTGTCCTGGGCAGGAAAGGGGGTGCTCGGTAGGCAAGGGGTTAAACAAAAAAATCCTCTACAATAGCCTTGCAAATCCTGAATAAGGCTCGGTTCACATCTGTGCGGGTGGTGCCTCTGTGGATCCTCACGAAAATCCGTGCAGCCGCACCACCCGCACAGAGGAATGCGGACCCGCGGGTGGGTACCATTAGTTCTAATGGCACGCCGCCCGCACTGGAAAACACAACAGTACTGGGAACCTTAGCTGCGTTTTCAGAAGTGCAGAGACTTCTTCCCTGTGTGTCTCGGGGCATGGCAATCCATTCAAATGAATGGGCTCTCGTGCCTGCGCGGCCGCATATATATGTGAACCAGGGGTGAGGGATATGTCTGAGAACCAATGGCATGGGTGAGGGATCTGTCCGAGAACCAATGGCAGGGGTGAGGGAAATGTCTGAGAACCAATGGCAGGGGTGAGGGAAATGTCTGAGAACCAATGGCAGGGGTGAGGGAAATGTCTGAGAACCAATGGCAGGGGTGAGGGAAATGTCTGAGAACCAATGGCAGGGGTGAGGGAAATGTCTGAGAACCAATGGCAGGGGTGAGGGAAATGTCTGAGAACCAATGGCAGGGTTCAGGGATATGTCTGAGAACCAATGGCAGGGGTGAGGGATATGTCTGAGAACCAATGGCAGGGGTGAGGGAAATGTCTGAGAACCAATGGCAGGGGTGAGGGAAATGTCTGAGAACCAATGGCAGGGGTGAGGCATATGTCTGAGAACCAATGGCAGGGGTGAGGCATATGTCTGAGAACCAATGGCAGGGGTGAGGCATATGTCTGAGAACCAATGGCAGGGGTGAGGGAAATGTCTGAGAACCAATGGCAGGGGTGAGGGAAATGTCTGAGAACCAATGGCAGGGGTGAGGGATCTGTCCGAGAACCAATGGCAGGGGTGAGGCATATGTCTGAGAACCAATGGCAGGGGTGAGGGAAATGTCTGAGAACCAATGGCAGGGGTGAGGGGGATCTGTCCGAGAACCAATGGCAGGGGTGAGGGATATGTCTGAGAACCAATGGCAGGGGTGAGGGATCTATCCGAGAACCAATGGCAGGGGTGAGGGATCTATCCGAGAACCAATGGCAGGGGTGAGGGATCTATCCGAGAACCAATGGCAGGGGTGAGGGATATGTCTGAGAACCAATGGCAGGGGTGAGGGAAATGTCTGAGAACCAATGGCAGGGGTGAGGGAAATGTCTGAGAACCAATAGCAGGGGTGAGGGAAATGTCTGAGAACCAATGGCAGGGTGAGGGAAATGTCTGAGAACCAATGGCAGGGGTGAGGGAAATGTCTGAGAACCAATGGCAGGGGTGAGGGAAATGTCTGAGAACCAATGGCAGGGGTGAGCGAAATGTCTGAGAACCAATGGCAGGGGTGAGGGATCTGTCCGAGAACCAATGGCAGGGGTGAGGGATATGTCTGAGAACCAATGGCAGGGGTGAGGGATCTATCCGAGAACCAATGGCAGGGGTGAGGGATCTATCCGAGAACCAATGGCAGGGGTTGAGGGATCTATCCGAGAACCAATGGCAGGGGTGAGGGATCTATCCGAGAACCAATGGCAGGGGTGAGGGATCTATCCGAGAACCAATGGCAGGGGTGAGGGATATGTCTGAGAACCAATGGCAGGGGTGAGGGAAATGTCTGAGAACCAATGGCAGGGGTGAGGGAAATGTCTGAGAACCAATGGCAGGGGTGTGAGGGAAATGTCCTGAGAACCAATGGCAGGGGTGAGGGAAATGTTGAGAACCAATGGCAGGGGTGAGGGAAATGTCTGAGAACCAATGGCAGGGGTGAGGGAAATGTCTGAGAACCAATGGCAGGGGTGAGCGAAATGTCTGAGAACCAATGGCAGGGGTGAGGGATATGTCTGAGAACCAATGGCAGGGGTGAGGGAAATGTCTGAGAACCAATGGCAGGGTTGAGGGATCTGTCCGAGAACCAATGGCAGGGTTGAGGGATCTGTCCGAGAACCAATGGCAGGGTTGAGGGATCTGTCCGAGAACCAATGGCAGGGTTGAGGGATCTGTCCGAGAACCAATGGCAGGGTTGAGGGATCTGT